ATTATTATTATTATAATTATTATTATTATTATTATTATTATTTTTATTATTAATCTCATCATTGATCAATGATATTATATCATGATTTTTAAAAAATCATTATGATACAGTGAGACCCATAAAACTAAGGAATAGGAATGTGACATTAAAACAGTCTGATGTATATTATATATACATAAGGTGAAATGGGTCTTCGCAAATCTTCAATTTCAGTGTTTCACATTTATTCGATTATCAAAATTCATAATTCGAAACTAACAGTCGTCTTCCTATTCCTCAATTTTTTAAATTTTCAAATTTTTATTGATTTTTTACCTTTCAAAAACTCAGGACTGACTATAAATCTTTTCCTTGATCCATCCTTTAACATACAACAATTATTATTTTATCATTTTCGTCTACTTTTCGGATTAAACTTTTGGAGCCAACTTTTGAGCCAACTTTCGGAAAAATTTTTATGAGCAAACTTTTGGACCAAACTTTCGGAGCAAACTTTGCACCAAATTTTCGGACTAAACTTTCGGACCAAACTATGTAGAAACCACGTGGTTGGGGAAAATTCGGTTAGAAACCAAACGTTTAAAAGGAAAAACTGGTTCGAATAAATTTTTCAAAAAAAGAGTAAAAGAGAGAAAAAAATTTATTAGCATAAGAAAAAAAAATCATTTGTCAATGATGATCAGACTTAGAGTAAAAGCGTACCGCTGTGAATCGAGCTAGTAAGTATCTTTATTTTTAAAGTGTTGCTCGAAATCACCTACATTTTCATCGTATGCAATTAATCACTCTCTGCCATGGGAACAATCCCTTTCGAGGTTGCTAATTTTCATTTTCTAAAACAATAAACAGTCCCTTTATACCAACCTGGTTACTGTTCTTTGTTTCCTTGGATAGAACCTGATAGGTTACACACTCATCATGTTCTCGTACACACTTGGTTATACTTCGAGCCTACAATAATAACACAAATAAATAACAAAATAAATAACAAAAATAAATAATAAAAATAAATGACAAAAATAAATAACAAGAATAAAAAACAAAAATTAAGAACAAAAATAAATAACAAAAATAAATAATAAAAATAAATAACAAAAATAAAGAACAAAAAAAAGAACAAAATAAATAACAAAAATAAATAACAGAAATAAACAACAAAATAAAGAACAAAAGTAAATAATAAAAATAAATAAAAAAATAAATAATAAAAATAAATAAAAAAATAAATAATAAAAAATAAATAAAGAAATAAATAATAAAAAAATAACAAAAATAAATAAAAAAAATAAATAACAAAAATTAAGAACAAAAATAAATAACAAAAATAAATGACAAAAATAAATAACAAAAATAAATAATAAAAATAAATGACAAAAATAAAAAACCAAATTAAATAATAAAGATAAATAACAAAAATAAAGAACAAAAATAAGGAACAAAATAAATAACAAAAATAAGAAACAACAACAAAAATGATAATGATAAAAAACAACACTATAAAATAATAAAACCAACAATATTTAATTTAAACATAGATGTATTAATATGAAATATAAGGTTTCCCAAAGACATTCCGCTGCGCTGAATTACGCACAACTGCGCGGAATTAATTGGCTGGCAATTGCGCGCAAGCTATTCCAACTTGGGTTAGAAACCAAATATAAAAGGGTGTATAATGACAAAACAATGACTTCGTCATTTTCCTCCAGAATTTCAAGATTATTACGAAACCAACTAAAAGCATACCTCTGGGATCGTCATCAACGACGACCATACATTAGATAATCCACCGTGGAACGCCATTTTGAACAGACTTTTCTTCACTAACCTATAAATATAGAAAAATAAAATTTTAAATATAAAACGCAGGATAATATTTTTAATAAATCACATAAAGATGATAAGCTTAGGTGAAATTTAAAAATGCATTAAAAATACTTAATATCCGCGAACTTTTTTTGCTATGGTTTTTATTGTACACAGAGAAGATGCTCACAAAAAGGGCCACAATTACAACATAAAAATGAGAATAATAGGTGGGATGCGCCTTAAAAGCCTAGTACTAATAAATAAATGAAAGGATGAAAGATAGTATGAATGAATAAATAAATGCCTACCCTGTAATCCCCTCAGGTTTATCTAAATGTTTTACTCCGGACTCCAGAACACCGGAAAGGCATCTCCAAACCTTTATAAATAAATTTAAATAACGGGTCGTCTTCCATTTTCAGCTTATTCTGCATGGCAGCCGCTGTACGCTGTTCAGTAAAAAGATAGTTTGGAGGAGTAGTAGATAAATACAGAAGTGTACGTAGGGTTTCCTTAAGATTCGCAATTGCGCAATAATAGCGCAAAGCTTGATCTGTAGCTTTACTTATCTGCAACAATGCAAAATTAATCTTGTTTTTCAAAAAGTTCGTTTTTAAAAATTGTCGTTTTTAAAACGATCGTTTTATTAACGATCGTTAACGACGACCCTTCGTTAACGATTGTTAAAATAATTGTCAATAAATCTGTTTTTTCAAAAAAGATCGTTTTTTCAAAAGCTATCGTTTTCAAAAATCAATCGTTAAAAAACCGGTCACAAATAGTTTTCTAAAACGATCGTTAATCGTTTTCTAAAAGTTCAAAACGAGCTGGTCGTTTTTAAAAACGATCGTTTTTTCCAAAAACGAAACGATCGTATTTGAAAACGATTGAAAAACGAAAAAAACGATCTTTTTCAAAAAAACGATTAACAACCCTAGAACTTGCATGCCACAACAAAATATAGTTTTGGTAGAAAAACTAATTTATTTTAGTGTCTCTCGATTGGAAATTATAAGAATAGAATACATCGCATAATTCTGCTAGAACAATGGCTGTATATTTTTTCATAATTTACTTTTTTTGATTACAAAAATTTGTTTTATCATTATAAAATTCGCTATTTTTGACAACATTTAGTCAAGCTTTCCTAATATTGAATTAAAAGTCTTTGGGCAATGAAATCCTGAATTACAGAATAATTATTTGGTGAATAAGTCATAAGGGTTTAAGTGTAGTCAAAGGCTGCATAAAAAATTAGAAAATTGCATTTAGGAACAAGTATATCTTTAAAATTGACTTTGCTTTGAAAAAATGTCTTTTCGACAATCCCCCCGCCCCTCTCTCATTTATGATAATAAAATTTAAATTTTATATATCTCCCAATAGAACATATATTAAAACCTGTATTTTACAAGATTCCTCAGCAGGCTTTTTCTTCTTTTTTTCCTCAGCAGATCTCTTAATGATTTTCCTCTCAGATTTGCCTATATATTAAATTGGGAGTAATCATGAAACCCCCATGGGTTGACATCGCATTGAATTTCATATCAATGGCTACTAATAATACTTCTATCTACTGCGTCTATCAGGAGAAATGGTTAAACGCGTTGCTTTATTCCACTAAGATCATGAATAATTCAATTTAGTTTAAAGGGAGTGTTCGCGAAAAATGAAATGGGGTATAGGCTTAATGCGATAAAAAAGTGCTTTTGATCGCTACTAATCTTACTTCTATCTGTTGCGTCTATAAGAAGAAAATTGTTAAAAACGACAAATACCGAAGAACGTAGTGTCCATTCAAATTCAGAAAGATGCAACATACGACTTAGAGCGTAGTTTTGAATTTATTTTTTAAAATAATATTTAGCTTACAACTTGTTTTCGAACATTCCTGGAAAATATTAAAATGTCGTCTTCATTACCAAAAATCCTCGAAACATGAATAAATGTTTTTATATGTAACTCTCAGATCATAACAATTAAAAAATATTTTGAAAAATCAACTATATACAAATGTGGCGAAAGATAATCTATGACTTTAGGTTGTAATATCTGAATGATTTGTTTGAAATTAAATAGATTTTTTACGGTCTAAGTTGTATGTTGTATTTTTCTGAATTTGTATGGACACTACGTTCTTCTGCATTTGTCGTTTTTAACAATTTTCTCCTTATAGACGCAACAGCTAGAAGTAAGATTAGTAGCGATCAAAAGAGCTTTTTTATCGCATTAAGCCTATACCCTCTTTAATTTTTCGCGAACACTCCCTTTAAAACTACTTATTATTATTCTGATATTACAAACTACAATTGTCGAATTCAATTCGATACATTCGTATATAATTGATATTTCATTACTGTGTTTTTAATTCATATTTGAGTGGAATGATACAACTCAGTGAATTTGCAGGAACGCTACGTTATTTTCCTTATAGACTCATTAGTCTAGTATTGACAGTAAACCCTCTATCATTTTAAATATGAATATCATCATGATGGATTGTTTTCCTCTCAATAATTGATGATAAAGCTCTTTAAGTACAGTTCTAAATCAGACGTGCTAAAATTTGAAAATGGTGGGTTACTTTACACATGAAGAGTTTGATTCTATTACCTGGATTTAACTCTTCTGCAATACCAAGAAGAGGATCTAGTATTGGTTCTTGTGATAGTTTATCCAACCAGTCTCTTTCATCCTCATCCTCATCCTTAGTCTCTTCATCTTCTTTATCCTATAATACATTATAAATAATTATGCAGGGTTTGGGAATCAATAATTTTACTCCTATGATAATGCTTAGTAAAAGGTAGTGACTCATTTGATGTACAGCCCCGTTTTCCTGTCTATAATCTGGATGTGTGTACATTGTACGTACAACTGCGCTACTGAAAAGTCGAGTATGTACTTCAAATAAACCTAAGAATCTAATTGAGTAAAATTATTTCAGATCTGGTTTTGATGTCGCTCAATTTGCACCAATGACTTTTGGAACTCTTGGAAGTTTGTCTATCAATCAATTGTAAAAAGTATTAATTTCGACTGAGCATGAGGGTAGTCTCAAGGCCAGGTACTTTAGTCTTTGTTGATTTCAATATATATTATTTAATTATTTTTTAAATATTCAAGAATAATACAATATTTTTTTATGTCCACATAGTAATCATGTTCACCAGAACTCTCTGATACACTAACTTAACTGATAAATTAACTTAATTGAGGTCGGAATTTTGTGTATTAGCATTGTTCATTTTGAAACTCTGATCTCAATATCAAAAGATGGGCGCTTTTAATTTTTAGGATCAATGCTTGATTCCTCACTTAAAGTTTCGGGATTTTGAAGAGAAGTTTAAAAAAATCTGCTTAACATCGAGACCAATGCTTGTCTACGAGATTCATAAAAAATGTATGACTTTTATACATATTTGCTACCTGTGTCAATTCTTTTTCAGTTTCTGTTTTTAATTGGATGAACTCCTTCGCTATGTAGGACAACCAGCCTTCCTCTTTCTCCTCCTTCTCCTTCTTCTCCTCCTTCTCCTTCCTCATCTCTTTCTCTTCCATCTTCTCCATCTTCTCCTCAAACTCCTCTAGTCCTGAGATCATTGGTTTAAAGCAATTATAGATTATCAAGTATAATAGGTGGCAACAAAGAAATGAACCAATCATACATGACGTCACAAGTGTCAAATATAACAAGAAAAACGAAATTTTCTGACATTAGTTGACATGCTTTCCAAGATTAAATAAATAGTGTAAAAACAAATGAAAAATATAGAAATGAAGAGTATTACATCACTTAAATGTTAAATCATAAACATTTTAACCCCCCCTTGCCTTCCGGTCCCACTGTTTTATATTTATATTAGCTTATATTAAGTAGATTTATATATATATTTTAGAGATTATTTTAGTGAATTAGATATTACTAGTATGTTTGACTTGATTTGATTTTTTGTTTGATTTTTTAATGAACTTAATTGATTTTCAGATAATTTTCGGGGGACTGCAATATTCTGTTCTTATTTATTTGTTTTTTTTCTGCTTTTTTAAATTCAATTTCTTTTCACTTTTCATGATAAATAAGAGAAGCGACCGGGGATATTATTATTTGTTATAGACCAATTACGACATTTTCGTTATTTAGAAAACATTTTAACCCTATCCCTGCTGGGGTACTTGAAAACCAGGATATGCTGGGGGGGGGGGTCAATTTGACCCCCCCTCTAAATCCCATGTCCAAATATGACAAATGATACATCATTAGAAAGCTCTTGTGCTCTACAGAATCTGCAAAAAAATTTGCAAATTTGCAAAAATTGAATTTTTTATCGCAAAATCCAGTTATAAAGTAAAAATGTTTGCAAAAAAAATTTGTCCAAAAAATGAAAATTATACATTTTTGAAAAGCCCTTGACCATGCCATTTCAAATAGGAAAAAAATTTTAAAAAATTTTAAATAACCTGATTTTTAATCAAGAAAAACTAAAAATGTGCAAATTTCCTTTGACAGGTTGTTTGCAAAAAATTTGCAATTTTTTTCGCAAAACTTGTGCAATCCGTTTCCATATGTCATAGGCTTTCCAAAAAGCTAAATTTTATCAAAATCTGACAAGTGAAAGTGGGTCAAAACAAAGATTTAGTTTGTTACAGGCAAAAGCAGTCATTCAGGCAGTGTGCCTGAGGACTCAGGCAGTTAGTATTAAAGCCCGGTTTTAGGCCTAAAGGGAGGGCTTTGAGTATGTAAGAAAAGTCAGAAAATTTCAACAGCCTCAGACCAATACTTTTTGAGTTTTGTAAAAAAAAACTACAGGGGGGGTCAACTTGACCCCCCCCCCCGCAGGAATAGGGTTAAATAAAACAAACTTTATATATTTTGTTTTCAGACACCAAGAAGACATTGACACAAAATATTTGTTAAATGGGCTGTAAATGTAATTTAATGTGTCCCTCCATGCAAAGCTGGCAATATCCAATTTACAATGGTACCCTTGAAACTTTAATCTGATCGCGTCGATTTCAGACTCATAAATGTGCACTTTTTATAACATTTAACCTCTATTTCTTGTAAGCAATAAATGCAAAAGTCACTTTCCCATCGAGAAACAGAAAATGAAAATAAATAATGTAAAAAACAAAAACATTTTTTACGTGTTCATATCTAATAAAACAAAGCTTTTGATGGTACCGTTGTAAATCGGACATCATTGCCCATATTTGAAATATTTGCAGAAAGCGTCACTTGAAATTACGAATACAGTCCCCCTTGAAACCTGAAATTGAGGAGAGGATGTCCTTAAAATAACCTGTTGAAAAATATCCCTAATAATGATTATGCCTTTAAGCCTTGATTTTGTTTTACAAAAATTCAAATTCTAAACTGGTTTTCCCCTTTTTATTTAGTTGTAGTCTGTAAAAAAGGCAATTTTAACAAATTTTGATGAAATAATTGATGTTTTTTTGTGAGTTTTAAATTGAGGTTTTAATGAGTCAAATGATATAATTACAAAAATGTGCTGACTGCTGACAACATTATTTTCAAGAAAATATTAACATCAAATTATTTAAACTAACAAATAATTTTGACTAGCATTCATTCCTGGTTTATATCTCGTCCGTTATTGCCTCCCCCTCCGTTATTATTTTGAATCTGATTGTAAAGAAAAAAGGTGGCAGCAGCCAATGCCGCCAATAGTATTGGTAACTAAACAGACCTTTCTTATCTTTCTTAAAAAGGGAGTGACCGTAAAGCTATGGGTGGGGGTTTCTGAGAGCGCCTCATTTTTTTGTTCGATCATAACTCAGGAACCCCCTGACCGACTCCGGAGAGCTGAGGGCATGTTCTTAGCTTGGTTTTGAAATTCTAAATTTGGTCAACGTTTAACAGGAGTAACATGAGTACCCTGGGCAACGCTGGGATCCTATATTTCTCTTTTGTTTCTTATAAACAAGACATGTGAAAGTCACAATTTTACATTTTTAAAAAGAAATCACATAATGGATATATATATGGTTATTTATAAATTAGTACTTAATTTTTTTAAAATATGTAAACAGTCCCTTTAAAGACATAAATAAGAGATAAGATTCCTGATTGGGTTGATTGTAACAACCACAGTCATTGTAACCACCATAACCACCATAGCTACCGTAGGAATCACTTCTGCTAGCACTAAGGTTGGAAGTAAAATTTTCAAATTGTTGGGATGTATGGGTACAACAAGGGTGATTGATTTGTGACTTATTTTAGAAATCAGCTAACATCGGCAGCAATTGCTACGTTTTCACTTAATAAAAATATTGCAATAAAAAAATTCTAAATCGTCCATACGGTGGTGAATTGACGATTTAATATCAGAGAAATAACTGTAAGGCCCTCCAAAAAATATATTTCTAATAATTTAATGTTACACATAATTTTCTTGGAAATTTTATGCAGAATTCAGATCTGAAAAGCGCGTTAAAAAATTAAAATGGATTAAGTTAGAGCTAGAAAACTCACCAAAAATACAAAAGTTAAAAAGCAGATTTTTTTACAATTATATGAATTTAGCATAAAATGTCCAAGAAAATTATATATAACACCAAATGTTTTTTTTTGGGCCTTACTGTTATATCTCCGAAATTAAATTGTCTGCAATTCGCAACATGGACGATTTAGAAATTTTCTTTGATTGCAATATTTTTTTTAAAGTGAAAATGCAGCCATCCCTGGTGGGCAGTTGGCTTAATTCCAATATTGATCACCCTTAATGGATAGGGATGTGGATTGGGTATCTTTTGAGGTCTGTTTTCAAATATTTAAGGTATTTTGGTTTTAAAACCTCTAGAATTTCAGATATTAATCCTTTTTTAGAATGTTATGCTTGATAAATTTGCTTTTATTAGTTTATACCAAATATTTTCTCTCATCAAAGATATAAACTAACACTGGGTTTTCAAACGATTTATCAACACGATTTTATTTTTGAAATTTTGAACCAGGATTCTGATTTCTAGAGAGCCTCTAAAAGTCTGAAAAATTTGAATGCTTAAAAACGGACCTCAAAACAATGCCCAATGATCTATAACTTTTAAATTTAAAAAGAAAAATTTTAATCGACTTTTTGCAATATTTTTGTGAAAATTGATAACACTCCTTAAATCCCTTCTATCTGGAGGATCATAATATTTTCCAGATTTATCCAGCTCATCAACACTGGGCAATCTGTATATATATGGGGTTTTATAATCATCATAATCATAATCCATTCTCTCTGAAATATCTTTAGCGTTTCCAACACTTGTGGGTACTTTGAAACAATGATGTTTAATATTTACAAATTTACAATATGTCAAAAAACTTTAAAAAAGTAATTTTAATATTATATTTAATAGGTCTTAAATTAGATGCTATATCTGATAATAATTTTCGCGTATCAATGTTAAAAAAAATCAAAAAGGTTCGCAGATTTTGATATTTTCATTTATGGTTTATATTTTTTCCTAAAATCAAAGATTGTTTGATGATCTTTTGTTAAATTTTGACCAGAAAAAAACTTGCTTTGGGTCCTGTTATGTCCTAAAACAAATCTTTGCCTATTCCGACGGGGTGGGGGGAGGGTCCCTGGGACCCCACCTGTCCTTTTTTGGAGATAACTCAAAAAGTATCGGTCTGAGGCTGTTAACATTTTTTGACTATTCTAACTAACACATGCCTCTCACATTAGGATCAAACCAGGGCTTGTTATAACCACTGCCTGAGTCCTCAGGCGTACTGCCCGTATGCCTAATTTTACCTATACCCGACTAAACCTATTGGATTTTGACTTTTTATAGCTTTGGAAAGTTCGAAGAAAAGGAAGAAGATTGCACAATTTTTGCGAGGAAGTTTGCATAGTTTTTTTGCACAGATGCCTGGAAAGAGAATTGCACATTTCTATTTTCCTTGAATAAAAATGTTGCTTTTGAAAATTTTGAAAATACTTTTGCAAATTTTAGGTTCGCCGTGGTAAGAGCTTTTCAAAAGTGTATAATTTTCATATTTCGCGCACTTTTTGTTTTTTGCTTACTAATGCTTAATTTAATTGCTTAATAACGTGAAATTGCAATACATATTTGAAATTTAGCAAATTTGCAATTTTTTCTGCAGAATATAAAAGAAGAGCCTAAGGACTTTTATAAAGAGTATTAAATGGTAAATTTTTTTATCACAGTAAGGAAATAGAGAGTGGGGNTACAATGTACGTAATAACCTTATAATTGTAATTGGTAGTACTTATTCAAATCACAATTGTGCAGTGGTTGGAACTGCTTAGTATTATACTTAGTAAGAATACAAAAACAATTGTTTCCGCTTATCGAGACACCTCCCCCCCCACACTGTGAGATGGCATACTTCATAATACACGTTTTGAGGTCCAAATAAAGTTTAGCTAGTTCTGGGAGGGGGGGAAATCAAAAAGTCGGAAAAATTTATTTTTAAAATCACCCATCAACCCTTTTCCGACTGGGACAAGGAACTATAAATATATATCGATTTATTTCTTGCGACTGGGTTGAAGTTGGAAATCTAACCTGTTGGAAAAATTTCCCAGTTAAAGTTTCTTCGTTTCCT